CAATAACAAGAGTGGAAAAATTAGGAGTGACAAAATTCTGAGATGGAGGATAAAACTTTCTTCGTACAGCTATGATATAGTTTATTGCCCTGGACGTAACATTTTTGTTACAGATGCACTCTTTCTTGATCTTTTTGCTCTATGACTATAAATGGACCCTCTGTTTAGGAACTACATGAATCTCTTTGCCACCCTCGAATCACCAGAATTTATCATTTTATAAAATGGAAAAATCTGTTTTTTTCAATTGATGATGTAAAAAAAATCGTTTCACTGTGTCGAATAAATGCTGAATTAAAACCTAAATAGTATGTAAGCAATTTTAACTACACCTTAATAAAATCTACTCAACCTTTTGGGCGACTAAGCATGGATTTTAAAGGATCTATTCCGTCTTCATCTAGCAAAAAATATTTTTTAACAGTTGTTGATGAGTTTTCCAGACTTCTCTTTGTATTTCCTTGTCATGATATATCAACCTAAGTCGAAGGTTGAGATATCATGACAAGGAAATGTCATGATATCTCACAAAAAATGGCAAAACTTGGAAAGGAATTTTGCTTGCTCTTAAATCAAAGAATTTAATTACCATGAACTGGGAAAATGTTTTACCCGATGTTCTTCATTCAATGCGTTCCTTACTTTGCGCTTTTACTAACGCTACACCTTACGAATAATCATTCGTGAGTGTTCGTGATTCACGAATAATCATTCATGAGTATTCGTGAATAATTATTTGGATTCAGTCAACGTTTTTCAAATGGACACTCTGTTCCTACATGGTTAACTAATTCGGGTCCTGTATTGATAAAAGGCATGTTCGACACAGCAGATATGAACCACTGGTTGAAAAGATTGAGTTTTTAGAAGCTACTAGTAAATATTCTCATGAAAGAATGCCTGATGGATGTGAGACCATTGTTGCTACAAGACATCTCCACCAATGGCTGATATAATCATGATAATGGCGGATATAATAACTACAAAGATAACTCCAATGAATCTGTTACAATCCCTTTACCCGAGCCTCTCCATTGAAAAAGATCTCAAAACTTTTCTACTCTCCAACAAATTGTAATGGAATTCCTATTGACGAATTAGTCCCTTGTTGTTCAGAAAGATCACGGAATCCTACTGAATATTTAAATGACAATATTTGAACAAGTTAAACTTATTTTGTTTATTTAGTGTGGTAGAATGTGCTGATTCTTAGACTATTAAATTTACTATATATATATATATATATATATATATATATATATATATATATATATATATATATATATATATATATATATATATATATATATATATATATATATAAATATATATCTACAAGGCCGACCGTGCCGTTTTTGGCGTTAGATATACCTAACTTCCAGACATTGTGCAAACTCCAAACATTTTTATGTTTATACTTATGTCAAGTAAAGCTTTTGCAAAAAATTGCAATGATTGGGGCCTGGGAACAAAAAATCTTCTTAACTTGTGCCCCCCTGCTCAAACGTAAGAGCAACCAGTTGATAAAATATTTTATGTACTATTTTTAACTAGACTTTGTTCATCGATAAATTTTAAGTTTCTTAGAATAATCTATTAGCGTTCAAAAATTATGTCCATATAAAATTTGTAACCCCTGAATGACGTCTGTGCCCGCTAGGCAGTTTTTAGTTAGGAATTCCAAATAAAATTTAAAATGTAATAGAGTACATAGGGGCAGGTTGGTCTGCTTCTGTTTCTTTGATGTTTAAGATTTTATCTTGTTATGTTTTATTTAATTTAATTAGAACAATGTTGTGCGTTGCGTTGGCCCAACATCGACCGCCAACGTTGTTTTTATATCATTTTGATAACAAATGCGACGTTGCAAACAACTAAAAAACAACGTTGGTTCAATGTTGTATTTTAAGTCTGCATTGCGTAATGTTTTATGTTGAATCAACGTTGTATTTTACGTTGGCACAACTTTAACCTATTAACCAACTTAACCTTTTATCGGAATTGAATTTATTTGTTTCATGTTAAGCATATTCATATAAACATAAAATATTATATATTTATACATTATATATAGGTGGAGAGAAAGAAAAAAAAATTAAAAAAATGGCGAAAAGATGTATGTATAGATACATATATACAACTATATATGCGTATAAATATATAATATTTTATGTTTATATGTATATGCTTAACATAAAACAAATATATATATATATATATATATATATATATATATATATATATATATATATATATATATATATATATATATATATATATATATATATATATATTTAGTTGATGATATATTTGTCTTAAATTGTGGTTCAAACGAGTTGAATATGAAAAAGATAATGCAAAAAACAAAATTAAAACGATGATATGAACCACAGTAGTGTAAATTAAAATGTACACATGAGTTTATTATTGGAGGTTGTGCTAATTACATTATTTATGGAAAACTTTTGTGAAAATCATCTACATTATTATTTTTTAGTGTGTTTATCATATTTAGCTCTCCACATGTACTTTATTTCTTCTCAAATGTTTTGATAGTTTCTGATGTTATAATCTTGTTTTCTTTAAATCTTAGGTTTCTCGCTCTCCAAAGCTCAGTCGTAACTAAGTGTGGTTTCGTGGTTGCAAGTAGAGCTGTTTTATTCTTTATGCTCAGTTCAATGGTATTTGGGGTAAGATTTTTTCATATATTGGTGTTATCATCTTCCATACTTTTTTCACTTTTGGGCAGAAAATGAATGGGTAAAGAGTAATTTCAACATGTATACATGACGCGCATATAGAACTCCCTCTTCCACGATTCTTTCTCCATGACTGAAGTTTTTCTAAGGTTGTTGAACTATTCTAAAGGATCCCTCAGATAACATTTTAGCAATGTCCTTGGACATAGGAATTGAAACTTTTTGGCCTTATTTTGTTCCAAGGTAGGTTTTTTTGGAACTAAACGTTTCAAATTGTTTGATTTTTTATAATGCTTTGCTCTTTTTCATGTTTGGTTATTTGTTTGTGGATGTCTTTTGTGGTTTTATTTTTAATAAGAAGTATTTCTAGATTTATTTTAAATTTTTTAATGATATCCTGAAAGTAAAATGAAGGATCATCTAGAGTTTTTAGGAAATTGTTTTCCGTTAGAAACCGCGATTGCTCAAACTTTTGAGATGCAAAGTTGAGTAATGGTTTTGCCACGAGGTATTTTTGTATATAGGTAAATTCATGTTGTTTTGCATTATGCCTGATGCTCATCATGTGTTTAAACCTTTGTGTCATACCTTGTTTTTGAAGGTCTAGAATTCCCAAGTCACCCTCAATGACTGGCAAACTCAATATCTCGTTTTTAACAGGCTCATTAGACTCATTCTGCTATATGTATTTTGATATTTCCTTTTTTATTTTGGTTTCTAATATTTTATTTATTGGGAAGATATTCGCAGTATACCTTATCTTAGATGTTACAAGTGTGTTAACGAACATCGCTTTACATTTTAATGATACGTTTTTATATTTAAATAAGTGTAATTTTGTTTTGACCTTTTTAATTGCTATATTCCAAATAAACTGCTGTATACTTTAAGTCAGTAAAGAAGTTTATACTCAATACTTTAAGTCCAGAGGTATTGGTCCAGATTATTTGGTAATTTTTATGTTGTTTGTAATATATGTGATTAAATTCACCTATTGCAAGAGCTTTTGTTTTGGAATTATTGATATTCGACCCGGTTGCATTTCCATATTTATATAGTACATTAAATAGTTTAGCCATAGACGATTTATTATGTAAAAAGGCAGTAGTGTCATTGACTATTGCACGACTTTGAGGTGTGTATTTATTCCAGGTATAGATATTCCTTCGATTTTATTGTCTCTTTTTATCTCAAATGTTCACTTTGAAAGGCTTGCTGAGATACCAGTTATTTAAAATAACAGATTGTGTTCCTTTCAGCGTGTTTTGCATTGCTTGTATAAATGAATTGCCTTTATTAAGTTTTTCAAGTATTTTAATAAGGAATTTTCTATCAAGCATATCAAAAGTTTTTTCCTTGTCTATTGTTAGAATTATTCCTTCTTGATTTTTTTGTTTTTATCTTTCTACCATTTTAATGATGAATTAACATGGCTTATTATTTAAACTGGTTATTTTGCATCTGAATAATAAGACATTATTGATGTTTGTTTTGCTTCTGACTTGATATTTCGTTATTTAAAAAAGAGAAAAAATATATTAGCAAAATATATTTCCATAATCAACTGAGATGTTTAAATCAAAAATAATTCTCATAAATTATACAAATGTTTATTTGTATATCTGCCTTTTTTTGATGCAAACATAACTTTAATCCACTGTATAAAATCCAACGTTGGATTAACGTTGATTTAATGTATATACATTAAATCAATGTTGGTTTGTACACATTGAATCAACGACGGGTTGATAACATTGGATCAACGTTGGGTTTATATCGTAAAAAAATCAATTTTTTTCGATGTTTTTACATACATTGGATCAACGTTGATTTTTACATATTGAATCAACGTTGAGTTATATACATCGGATCAATGTGAGTTGAGATCGTTAAAAAATCAACTTTTTGCGATTTTTATACATACATTAATTCAACGTTGGTTTTTACACATTAAATCAACGTCGGGTTAATAACATTGGATCAACGTTGGGTTTCCATCGTAAAAACAATCAACATTTTGCGATGTTTTTACATACGTTGGACCAATGTTAATGTGCCAGCTGTTTTAGTTCCGTCAGTAATAACTTCATCATTAAAAAAATGATATTGGGTCAACGTTGGTTTTGCTTTAGAAAAAACAGCCAACTTTCGCGATTGTTTTACATAAGTTGGCCTAACGTAAGTCTGCAAGCTGGGATAGTATGATTTTTTATCGACTTTGAGCGCAATTTACTGAAATAAAATTCCTTTTGACTTGACAATTCGTTTCATGTGATATAAATCGGAATGGAATTGAACAAGTCAAACAATTTTGAGCCTTACCAAATCTAGGAAAACTAATTAATTCGAAGACAAAAAACCATCATGCTGGTTCGTCACTTCAGCAAAGCATAATGAAAACTAAAAACGGCCGTAGTAAACAAACATTTAATTCAATTTAAATATTATTTATACCCATTTTTATTTGGAACTATTATTTTGCTTTATTTTAGCTTTATAATGGATTCGAAATATAGTGATTTTAGCAGTGTTGACGATGAACAAATAAATAATGAAAATTTTTCTTATAAAAACGGAGAAGATAAATCTACCGAAAAAATTCCAAAGGATTTATCATTGTTTCAAAATACTGTAAAGTTATTGAATTTTAGTTCAGAAATTACTTCAGATAGACATCACGAAAACGAAATTTTTGACAATTTTTCTGACAACTTTAATGAAGGTATAACTCCTTCAGATAAAAAAAAGAAACCTAACGTGAAACTTGAGGCGGGAAAAAGTACTGTCATTACATCTCCTAAATCTAAGTTTTCTAAGTTAATTGAAAAAGTAATCTCAATGAAAAATACTTCAAATCAAAATAAAAAGCCATTGCAATCACTTTCAATTAACTCTACCACATCTGAAGAAGAAACTAAAAGTAATAAATCTGATGGTACACAATCACTGCCAGATGATGTTCGTTCATTATCATATATTACTAAATGGTGGCAAAAATATTCAGAAATTCGTAAATTTAAGAGAACTAAAGCTGCAAAAATTGAGGAAAATAAGATGCGATATAAATTACAGTATCATTTTATGTCGCCATTTGAAAAATATAAACTTGGAAGAAAGCCATGGAAATTAGGAATTCAAGTTTTGAAAATTATTATGGTAACTGCACAGGTAACTGTATACATTTTTTTTTTTAATACTTTTTTTAACATTTATAGCATTCAGAAGCTTTTATTTGTTATTTCTTTAAAAGTAAAGATCAACAAACTCCTTTGTTGTTCTTTACTTTTAAAAAAGTAAAGAACAACTTCCTGATTTTCTATCACTTTTTAAATTGTCCCTAAAGCCTTATCTTTGGCTGTACCTAAAAACTAGCCCAAAAACCTAAAATCTGGTCGGGATAAAAAAAAAAAAATTTATATATAATAAAACAAACTAATCGATATCTTATATCAAGTTTACAGGAAATAAAAGTACTTGTTATTTGAAATTTATTTTTACAAAAATAAACAGTTTTAAACAACATAAATTAGTAATATAGCATTTATTGTTCAAATCAGGGTTGCAACAAAACCATTTTTTTTTGAGAAAAAAAAACAAAAAAAAAAAACATTGTTTTTTTGAAAAAAAAACCCAAAAGACAATGTTTTTTTTTGTTTAAACTACTTTTTTTTTTTTTAAAAGTCATATTTAGTTAACTTTTTCAATCGAAAAATAAACATTGGTTATTTTAATTGAGTGAATTATATTTTCTTTTAACATTACTGCTGTAATTCATCAACCAATACATCATTATTTAATGTTATGTATATAAAAACAAGCTTTGTTGCTTTTTCTACTCCCATCTTGTTTCTTAACTTGGAATGAACAAGCCTAAAAGTTAAAAAAAAAAATTTATTGCAGCACTAGAAGCCTACAATGGACTGCAACATGATAATTTTGCAAAGATTGTTGTGATTTCTACCATAAGTGTGACATTTTTCAATACAGATTCATTATACAAATACCTTGTATTGTATGGAGCAGATTATGCTTTTAACTTGAATATTACTGGTAACAAGTTTGTAAATACTTTATCTCTAAAGCCATTGCAGCTTCATTTTTATTTCCAGAAAGATTAGATCCAAAATATCTTTGATCTAGCGTGTTGCAAAGAAACTGACTGTCTAAAGTTATCTAGTTGGCAAAAAAAAAAAAAAAAAAAATTTCAGCTGATAAAAATGATAACATATTTATCAGTTCAATGAAAATTTAAACAGTGTCATTTTTGTTTGATCTCTTTGCAACATATCTAGAGCAACTCCGATTGGTTTTAATACTTTAACAAAAAATTAGTTTGGTTAAAATTAATATTTTTTCAATTGGTTCAAACAATGGTTTAAACCATTTGGCTTAAACCTATCAACTTTGGTTCAAATGCATTTGCTACATGAAAGTGTTGTGTGAGAAGACTGACATGGTGTGCAAGCTTTATGACACTAACAATTGTACTGATTGCATTTTGATCATTTGAAACAAGCACCACAGGTTTTAACTAAAAATGGAATGTCACTTATATCTTCGTTATCAATGTTAGCGCACATGCGTTATATAAGTCTAGCATGTCATATATGTATCAACAGTTCAATGCTACAGCTGTTGAATGTGCAACACTAATGTCACATTGTTGGTAACAGCTTCTGGAAATATTAGTGTAAAAACTCCACAATTGTTTCTATTAAATTGTTAAGGTCCACAAATTAATATGAAAAAGCAAATAAATCAAGTGGTACTTGAATACATGGACTTTTTTATAAAGCCAGCATTTTTTTTTTGTGACAGTTGATTTTAAAAAGAAGACAGGACATAAATCAGGTTATGCTTTTTAGCCTTGATTAAGTCCATAAGGGGATTGAGGTAAGCATGGATTATAGCATCATTTATTAAGACAATCTCCTTTTTTTGCATTGTTGTTATTATCACTCTCAGCATCAGGAGCCACATCGACATCACAGTCTTACTCCTCAGAATTAGGGTCAGCTGACTTTTGAGAGTTGTAAACTGTTTGAGGTTGGTAAAAAATCGTTTCTATTTTATTAAACCTTGTTTCTATTTTATGGTAAGATCTTTATATTAAATTTTATTTGCCGACCTAATGCCAGTCTCCAATTCATGGTTGCTTTCTTTCTAGCTGTTGTTTGACAATACACTTTTTTAAAAACTATTTAACAAGTGTTTATCAGAGTCTTGTTTTCCAGCCTGCTGGAAAGCGGCATCTGTTATCCCTATTTTCAGAAACTCTGGAGAGTAATCTGACTTGTCTAACTACTGTCCCATTAGTCTTCTAATTATAAGCAAGTTTTTTGAGTCTTTAATTAACAAACCCTTAACTTCTCATCTTAAATCTAATAACTTATTTTTTGATCATCAATATGGATTTCGATCTTCTTGTTCTACAGCTGATTTGCTAACAGTAATAACCAATAGGTTTTACAGCACATTAGATAGATGTGGAGAAGTTAAGGCTATCACTCTTGCAGGGCGGCCACTGGTCATGGAAATCATGGAAACATCTTTAAAATTGAATAATTACCAATTACAGTATTAAAGTTGTTCTCAATGGACAGCACTTTTCTTCATATCCTTTAGTTTCATGGGCTCATCAAGATTCTATCCTTGGCCCTATACTTTTTAATTTACATTATTTATTTTCCAGGTATTCTTATATCTAAGTGGCATTGTTTGCTGATGACACTACCATTTATTCTTTGGTTGTTGGGGGCATTTGAGCTTAAAAAGGATCTCACTTCTGCTACAGCATGGCTGGTGAACTTTAACCCTTATTTAACTTTTCCTACTGATCTTTCTTTGAAACTATATTTAGACTCATCTTTTTACTGTGACTGTTTTTTCAAAGAACATTAGTTCTTTGAAATTCACTTCCTTCATCTTATTTTTCCAATTCATATAATTTGCAATATTTTAAATTGTCTGTCAATTGTTATCTTGCTATATAAACTTCGTTTCTTCTCCTCCAGTAACTTCCAACTCTAATAGTGGTTGCTTGCAGCCTTGTTGGAAGCGAAGATGTTGGAAAAAATATTAATTTAACAAAAACTCTACAGTTTTACAGTATAGACATTATTATAATATAGATACTCTGAAGAATTTTTTAAAATATAATTAAATATAAAGGTGTAACCCTGACAACTCTTTTGTTTTAAAAATAATGCCATTTTATTTTGTGTGCATTATATTTGGTTTATTTTTTTTTTCAAAAATCACGAAGCTAGTTATTTTATATTGTTTACAAATATTCAGCGATTTTATTATTTACGAGTTTAAAGTTTTAGCTTAATACTATGGGGCAGAAGTTACATAAAAGTTGAAACATTTCTGTTTAGTAATTTATTTAAGCGACTATAAAGAGGTTATGGAAGTAAATTGCCATGAATGAAAACTAATGTGAAAACTTTGATTTTAATGTTCTTACTGTTTATGGAAAGATAAAACAAAAGGGTTTTAGTCTTTTATTGAATATTTTAATGCTGTAAACAAGGAAACGTTTTACTTTTGAATAAGAGACATTTTTGGAATGTAAATACTTGAAACATTTGTTTCAGCTGTTTTTATGACGCTGCCCTGTCACGTTTTATGTATTTTAGTGGTAGTTTTGTTTTGTTAGATGCTTTGGTTAAAAAAAGATTTATGAAAAAAAAAATTATACAAACAAAGCTTAAACTCTACTTTTTTAAAATATATCAGTAATAGTCATAAATAAGCAAAATACACAAAAAATTAAAGATTAAAAATTTTTTTTTTTTATTTTTAAGAAATGCAAATCGTTTGGATCTCTCCTTAACTACACTGAGCAGCGATTATTTTTTAATAAATTGATATATACAGCAATATAATTTTAATGAATAATGTTTGAAAAAATATTATTTGCTTTCACAACAAAATTCTTAATAAAATAATTTTTAATAAATAAAGTAAATAAATTATCATAATTGTTTTATTTGTTTTTCGCTAATTTTTTTAAAATAAAAAATCATTTGTAGTTGCAAAGCCGCAATTAGAAATTTAAGAACTAATCATTTAAAAGTTTAACAATTTAAATTCATTTATGCAAATGTCAAGAAAAGAAAGAAATTTTTTAATATCAAACATTTTTAAAAATGCAATCTTAAATTTAATTATTTAGTATTTAAAAAATTAAAAAAATAAACATTCCCTTATAGTAATAATAAAAAACCCATTAAATAACATTTAACTTGTTTTTTGGTAATTAATATTATTGCAGTAATTTAAAAAAGTTAAGGTCTTTAAAAAATAAAGAATTTTATGACATCAAATTCACATTAGGCTATTGCATTAAGGATTTTTTATTTAAAACAAGGACTGAGTGATGAAATTTTTTTAAATTTAATTAAGTTTCAAGTCTTTAATTTTTTAACTTTAATTTTTTACCAGTTATCAATTGAGCCATTGATAACTGACAATATTTTTTATCCATTTTTTAGCCATTGATTTTTGACAATATTTTTATTCAAAAAGCAAACATTTCAATGCTTTCTTTTTGAATAAAAATATTATCTCTCATCAATTCTGTTATGCCAGTTGTCATAAATAACAATCATCCATAAAATGCAAAAAACTTTTTTAAATAATTTTTTTTTTCTTTGAGCCATAAACTGAAAAAAATAAATAGCTGAAACCAAATTATTAAGATCTTTAACTGTTTTCAGCAGTATTTTTATCTATTTTTTAATGAAGCATTACTATATATCAATATGTAAATTCATTTTTTTTTTTTTGTTAGCATTTTGATTTTATACATCATAAAGAAATTTGCCCTAATTTCAGGTTTGAAGAGAGGGAAACTGAAAAGTGAATTTCAATCAAATAATTTTAGCTTTTGACTTATAAAAGTTTAATCAAAAGTCTAGGTTTTACTTTTTGTTGTTGTTTCATTTTTAATATCAATATTATATATTATAAATACTTAAACCAAACAGGCATTAGCTATAAGTCATAAAGCGATCAATTAAAAATAAATCATGCAGTGTTCAGTTATAAATAAATAAATCATACACAGATAATTTTAGGTTAATTTAACTAATTTTGAAACCATTCCATCTTAGTTTTTGGTAATTAGTATCTATGATTATATTCATCAATATTTTTAAAAA